TACTTAGATGTAGTTCCAGTGCCGTGTTAATGGCTGGTGTACTTACTTAGATGTAGTTCCAGTGCTGTGTTAATGGCTGGTGTACTTACTTAGATGTAGTTCCAGTGCTGTGTTCATGTGTTAATGGCTGGACCTACTTAGATGTAGTTCCAGTGCCATGTTAATGGCTGGTGTACTTACTTAGATGTAGTTCCAGTGCTGTGTTCATGTGTTAATGGCTTGTGTACTTACTTAGATGTAGTTCCAGTGCTGTGTCAATGGCTGGTGTACTTACTTAGATGTAGTTCCAGTGCCATGTTAATGGCTGGTGTACTTACTTAGATGTAGTTCCAGTGCCGTGTACATGTGTTAATGGCTTGTGTACTTACTTAGATGTAGTTCCAGTGCTGTGTACATGTGTTAATGGCTGGTGTCTTTACTTAGATGTAGTTCCAGTGCCGTGTACAAGACTAGGATCATGTCTGCCAAGGCTTTGCAGCCATTGGTCCTCCCAGATCAGCTGACCTCTGTACTGTCACAACTACTGGGCATGCTCCCTGACTCTGGCATACAATCAACCAATCAGAATCTCATTCATGGCCTTTTACCCCAGGTGTGTATACATTAGTATTTCATGAGAAAGGGATTTTTTAAAATATTGAACACAACATATAAAATGTTGAATCACAAAATTAGCTTTGGGACGTAGATTCAAGTATCCAAGATTCTTCAGGGGTAACGCTCACCTATGCTCTGTGCAACCCTTAAAATGTCATTGCAAAATTTAGTCTCGGGTATAACAAATCTTAAAGCCTGTCAATTTTACCTTAACCCTACGGTATGATACTTTTGATGAATATTAAAGAATCAAACTAGTATTGTTGTATGGTTTGTAAGGTGGCACACACTGAGCTTTCTCTTTTGCTATGACATACCCAGCAGTGTAGGGAAAGGAAGTAAGTACAACCCCTGGAATTTCGAGGATGAGGTTCAAGTTTTGGCAATGGAGTCTTGTTAAAAATATTTGTTAAAATCTAAGCCACCATAGTTAAAAATATTTATATGATTCTAAGTCAGTGGAATGTAACGAAATAAAAACAAAGTCAATACTGTTACATGATTGGACAGATACCTTTTGGCCCTCAACACTTCTTTCTATAAATTTACGGATCCTTTCATGTTAAATGATCTGGTTTTACACAGTTGGTTTGTATCCACAGGTCCACCAGTTGATTCAGACTCTACCCCGTGTCAGTGAGGCGGTCAGGGTCCAGACTGGTCATCTGTTACTATCAAAGTGGGGCGACAAAATCTGGCTCATTACAAGGTGTGTGGATGTCTTTTGTGCACTTTATATTTATTATGCTGGATGTGCATTACATCACATTGAAAACTTTCTAATACACAAAATGTATAGTTGATCTTAGACTGGCTAGCACACTCCATGATAATCACTTATGTTACTATCAATATATTGACTTGAGCAAGTCTACAGGGTCTTGGCCATGATCAATACAGATTTGACTTGCACAAGTACATAAATGATAAAGCAATTGTATAGACTGAAAGCCAATCTAAATTGACCTATGACCTTAACAGTCGCAAACAATCTAAATAATAACAAAAGAGAGAGAGAAGATTATAATGGCAATTATTAGACCATTAGTTAATATAGATACTGGTCATGTGATCTTTAAATTATGAGAGAAAGAAAGATTAAATTTACTGATAGCATATGATCATTTCTTTATTGTCTTTCAGAAGGAACACTTGTTTCATGACAAGGACAGAAGCTCTCAATGTCACATGTAGCATTCTCAAAATCTACGAGGCAGTTGAAGATGAAGAAATGTTGTTGTCCCTGAAGACAATTAGAGGAGAATACGTGAAAGTCTTACAACAGGAACTTGAACTTTTTGACCTCAAGGATCGTCTACAATTGGCCGGATTTACAGAGTTTATAGTAGCAGTAGCTAGACTGGAACTGTTGTCCGACCATGTAAAGGGAAGTAACTCCAGTATACTATCCCTCCTCAGGAGATTGGTGCTGTGTGTGTACTATGAGGTGAGATTGATAGCGCTGGTTTTTATCAGAGACGTCTTCTGTGGTGAACAATCTGATGGCAGTCAGGAGGACACTTGGACACTCGTGTTCCAAGGTGTTGACGTTTTCAGGGAGTTCCGAGGAGACCAGTTGGACTGTCTGAGATGTGAGATTGCAGAGTCCACAGACATCCTAAATCTTCTGTTACAACGGGGCTTGTCAGAGGAGAAACACTACGAATGTATCATTCAGGTAAAAATCGTATCCAAGTAAACCTGAATCATTCAGGTAAAAAAAGCATCCAGGTAAACCTGAATGATTCAGGTAAAAATAGCATCCAGGTAAACCTGAATGATTCAGGTAAAAATCGTATCCAGGTTAACCTTAATCATTCAGGTAAAAATCATATCCAGGTAAACCTGAATCATTCAGGTAAAAATAACATCCAGGTAAAAAAAAAGTCATTCGGGTAAAAAATGTAACATCCAGGTAAAAATTGTATCCTGGTAAACCTGAATCATCCAGGTAAAAATATGTACCATCCATATAAAAATTGTATCCTGGTAAACCTTAATCATCCAGGTAAAAAAATGTACCATCCAGGTAAAAATATGAACCATCCATGTAAAAATATGTATCATACAGGTAAAATTCATATCCAGGTAAAAAGAAATTAACCAGGTAAAAATATGATACAGGAAAACTAAATATTATCATTTAGGTAACAATATGAAAATTAAATAATCCAAGTGAAACCAGGTATAGTGTCAAGTAAATCACTAAGCATTAAAGACATCATGTTCAGGTAAAATCATTGCATTAAGGTCAATCTTACAGCTAAAAAAGTGTTTCATTGTGTTTAAGACATCATATATCATTCAAATAAACACCAATCACTAAATTACTCAATTTATGTGTCTCAATCAGAGGGCAGCTATATTTGTTTATCATTGACAATTGAAAAATGAATTTAAATAATGGCGAACGTACAAATTTATATTGACTACCAAAGGGGATACACAGCAAGTTTGATTTCATGTTTTATATAGTTTGTGTTAATATGGTTTCAGTATAACATTTTCTGTCCACAGTTAATTATTTTAAAGATGATGTTTGTTCCCCATCCACAGGTGTTTGAGGTGTTAGCCTGTCATCCCCTTGTCTGTTCCTGGGATTGGAGCTCGTCAGCAGGACAGACACCATCACAGGTTACCTCCCTTAGTACATAAAGTTATTAAAAATCTAACGTTATAAGTGAATCAATGTATCATACCATACCTGTAGGGTTTGTTCCTGTTAACCATCTGGTTGAATAAACCTCTAAAGACTTGGAGGTATTTGAGGAATCAATATGAGACCTCCTCAGACTGTGTGTGGCGAACCTCCGCAATGATCCTCCTCCTCCTAACTTCAACGTTACACAATAACAGGTCCTATTTCATTCCACCACGGCCATCACTTTTTTAACAGTGATTTATGTTTCATAGACATTTCAGTTGTTACTTTATGATAACATTTCTTGAAAATAACATGCATGTATTAGTTCATATCAAGATGTACAATGGTATCTGACAACACACATACACGTACATGTACAATGGTATCTGACAACACACATACATGTACACGTACAATGGTATCTGACAACACACATACATGTACACGTACAATGGTATCTGACAACACACATACATGTACATGTACAATGGTATCTGACAACACACATACATGTACACGTACAATGGTATCTGACAACACACATACATGTACACGTACAATCATTAAAATCATGGTTTGATGGGTACCAATATTAGCTCCTTACTGTCATCACAAGCGTGGAATAGTTAACATATTTTTACCAGGAAGCAAATGAATCCTTCTTTTCTGCTTAAAAAAATAATTTTGTACACAATCAGTTTTTATTTGTCAGTTTCACCTATGTTTGCATTGATAGGACAAAATAAATTCCTCTTTAATAAATTTTAATCAAATGATTTATAAAACCGCGTCATCCTGAAATTCAAGACATTTGTTAATCTGTCAGTATATATATACTTAGGAAAACTACCAACAGAAATCCATTTAGTTAAGCTACCGCATTGGTACCTGGGGAAATGTAATCCTTTTAGAGATAAACTTTACTTAACTATCTACAGTATTGGGACCTGGGGAAATGCACCCCTTTTAGAGATAAACTTTACTTAACGATATATCTACCGCATTGGTACCTGGGGAAATGTAATCCTTTTAGAGATAAACTTTACTTAACTATATATCTACCGCATTGGTACCGTGTGAAATGCACTCCTTTTAGATATAAACTTTACTTACCTATCTACAGTATTGGTACCTGGGGAAATGCACTCCTTTTAGAGATAAACTTTACTTAACTATATATCTACAGCATTGGTAACTGGGGAAATTCACTCCTTTTAGTGATAAACTTTACTTAACTATCTACAGTATTGGTACCTGGGGAAATGCACTCCTTTTAGAGATAAACTTTACTTAACTAACTATCTACAGTATTGTAAACTTTATTAAATTATCAATTATAAGCATTATCCATGACTCAGGTTAAAGAGTGAGCTTGATTTACATGAATGTATATTAATAGCACAAAATAAATAAACCCTGTTCTGATAAGTCTATGATGAGCATATCTTCAACATTTCTGTTCAATAGATTATTCAGCAGTACAAATTTAATTTAAAAAAGACTCTTTTGTTAACAGTTTTTGATTGCTAGTATAGGAAAAGAAAATTACAAATATTGGCAATAAAAAATGTACGTTATTTTTGTGACTTGTGATCCTAATATATATATATATGTGTGACCTTTGTCGCATGATCTTTGTCATTGTATATATATAAATGTGGTTGACATCCTTTCACCTTTAACCTTGTAGATACTGGCGACGTGCCTTCACATGATCAAGTCTAACCCGAGGTATGTTAACACTGCACCGGAGTGCATAGGGTTTACAATCCCAGTCATTAACAAGAAAACAGAGGTCTTACACATGGCACTATAGTTTATTTTCTCTATTATCTCCGCCAACCTTCAACACACACTTCTCACAGGATATATAGATCACTTCCACCTTGACAGGAATACAAATGGAATTAAGTAACTCAGAACCCTACATTCCTGAACTTGATACACCCATATTTTGGCAAGATTTCCTAAACAATGGAAGATGTAGTAAATATTGCATAATTCAGATCACTTAAAAGTTAATAGGTAACTCAGTTGTAGATAAATCAATCTGATCTTGTGGCCATGTTTCTGTCTCTGTATCAGGCCTCCTACAATGGATGGTCTACATTTTGAAATGTTGTTAGAATGTCCAATTTAAATGAATTAATTTCACTTCAAACTTTAAGAATATTGAACGTATCAGGAAGTGAACTTTCTCACAAGTGGGCGGAAGAATGAAACCGAAATTGAAACTGACCGCAATATTTGGTTTTCAAGATAAGTTGTTTATACAGAGAAAAGTGATAAGATTTTTGATTTCTTGCCTCCGTAGGGATGAGATCATAGCTGCAGTGATCCAGTTTACGGGCGTAATGATAAGAGGCGTGATACGAGGCACATATGATGTAAGTATAGGCTTGTTACTCTCCGTTCTATTATCAGTTTTTATGCCGTTATATGAAACAGGAGAAATAAACGACCCATTTTGCTTACTGATACGACACAGGGGAAATATATGCTTAGGATTTTTGTCTGGATTGAAATTGTTACATGTATTTTCGACAGTTAAGATAAAGTTTAAAATATACAGGTGTTTTTTTTCTCCCGACAAGAATATAAACCAATGAGTTATTTCCCTTCCACCATAGACCTGTATAACTACCACCACAAGTATGTCAATCAGAGCAGAGGTTGCAGAGTTGAAGTTCAGGTTTTAAAATCAAGATCAGGTCACTCATCAGCTGATAGAGAAATAGCTGAGTAGCTATAGGTTACAAGTTGTAGAGTACCTTACTTGGATGTAATATGGTTCCCTTGTCTGGTGTTACAGTTAAAAACAAATATCGTTTTCTACCCACGTCTCTATGGCACAAATGCATGAAGCTCAAATATTTCTTCTGATTTTACCACTTATTTGGTTTAACTATGACCATGGAAATGAAAGTTAAAAATTAAGATCGGCAACTTGTGTAGCTTGTTTTCCATAAATTGGAGCCTTCCTTGGCCTGGTAGGTGACACATTTTGGCCTGGTAGGTGACATGTTTTGGCCTGGTAGGTGACATGTTTTGGCCTGGAAGGTGACATGTTTTGGCCTGGTAGCCGACATGTTTTGGCCTGGTAGGTGACATGTTTTGGCCTGGTAGCCGACATGTTTTAGCCTGGTAGGTGACATGTTTTGGCCTGTAGGTGACATGTTTTGGCCTGGTAGGTGACATGTTTTGGCCTGTAGGCGACATGTTTTGGCCTGGAAGGTGACATGTTTTGGCCTGGTAGGTGACATGTTTTGGCCTGGTAGGTGACATGTTTTGGCCTGGTAGGTGACATGTTTTGGCCTGTAGGTGACATGTTTTGGCCTGGTAGCTGTCATGTTTTGGCCTGGTAGCCGCCATGTTTTGGCCTGTAGGCAGGCCGTCATCAGGTTACTATATAAGAAGGGTTTGTATACTGTGAGGTATCGTCCTAAAGCCGAGAAGACAAACATGTGGACTAATTGGACATTGGTTCTTAGGTGATCTTTTCCTCCTTTACTGATCAAGAAATTGATGTTATGTTGTAGAGAATTGGAAATTACAAAATTAAAGGTTGGTTTGACAGCAATAAGTCTAAAACCAGACCAACAGTGGGAGGTGTACATCAACTTTGTCGCTGTTGACAAGTGCTACATATGGTTTATAAGGAGATACTGGACACTAGTGTTGTCTTTTGGGTTAAAAACTTGGGAAAAGGAGAGAGGAGTGTAGCTGATATGGATATAGTGATTTACAGCTGAGCAGGTGTCCGCTTTACCCAGGTAGTGTCACATTAATCTAGATTTGGGATGGCCCTTGGTTCGGACCTGCCTTGTTTTTTCAGTGTCCTGTATAACAACACTACTGAGGTGTCTTGGTACCAGTACCACTGTATAGTGATACAGAGGAGCTGATACCTATTTAAGCGTTGAACTGTTTTTGTATGGTATTTATGATCTACAGCTTTGCAAGCAAACAACATAATGCGCGCTGTCAAATCTCACAATGCCTAGCGATATTTCAGCAGCCATCATGTTTATTTACATCGGATGTTGTAGTTCCGGTCAGTGTTGTATTAATACGCTAAGAATTGTGTCTCGTGCTGCATGGTAATTAAAGTCCCATCAACGACACAGCTTCCAAAGAGGCTATATAGTGGACAATGCCATGCAAATGTAAATATATATGTTTAAAAGATTATAAATAAAATCCAGAGGTAAGACGTCACTGTATCGGTATCTTCACACTTTAAAATAAACTGGCTTCTTATCACTCCAGAACAGGGGACGTCTTTATACATGTTCCGACAGTTTATAGATTTCTGACAAAATATTACCTGTCAAACTATATATACCCAGATGTACTGTCTCTGGTTTTTTATCTGCCTACAAAACTTGTGGAATGCGACATGAATATCTTGTCTGGTTTATATGTTCATCTCAACCTTTCTCTATCTGAAAACCTAAATTTTAAATATAGGTTTTTAAGCACAGGTGTTGAAATGGTAGATATTTCAAGGCTACGGACAGCTGGCCAATAAGAGCCCTGTGGCAGATGTTGAATGATTTCTTGACATTGTGAAACGGCAATTTGTCAAAGTCCCGTCACATATCACAACATTATACTTCTCGGTAGTGAACTGATAAAGAAGAACCTGTCCGAGTTTTACAAACAACCATAACATCCAATTCATCTGTTTTGATATAAGATCAGCGATGAATCTATACCCCCCTAACACACGAACACTTGTTATCTCATCCTAACCAAACACAAACATACCCACTTTTTATTCTCCTACATTTGATGTTGATATGTAAGGAAATGAAAAAAAAGTCATGAAAAGCCATCCTATTATTTCTCTGCCGTAAGAGCAGTTTGACATTTGTGACCTATAAGAATATTTCTTCAGTTCATGATGTTTTTGTTTTGGTGTGTGTTTGGAGGCAGGGAGGGGGTAGGATATATTGAGGAGGTATGTAGGAAGACTTGGATTTATTAACCCATAAGCGTGGAACGATATTACCTCTGGGGAGGTGGGGGTGGGAAGGGTGGCACAATTTACTACCCCTGAGGATTTGGGGGTGGGAAGGGTGACATACTACCCCAGAGGGTTGGGGGTGAGAAAGGTGACATACTACCCCAGAGGGTTGGGGTTAGGAGGGATGGTAGTACTACCCCTGAGGCTTGGGGTTAGGAGGAATGGGAGTACTACCCCTGAGGGGTGGGGTTAGGAGGTATGGTAGTACTACCTCTGAGGGTTGGGGTTAGGAGGGATGGTAGTACTGCCCCTGGGGGTTGGGGTTAGGAGGGATGGTAGTACTCCCCCTGAGGCTTGGGGTTAGGAGGAATGGTAATACTACCCCTGAGGGTTAGGGTTAGGAGGAATGGTAGTACTACCCTGAGGGTTGGGGTTAGGAGGAATGGTAGTACTCCCCCTGAGGGTTGAGGTTAGGAGGGATGGTGGTACTACCCCTGAGGGTTGGAGTTAGGAGGTATGCTAGTACTACCCCTGAGGGTTTGGGTTAGGAGGAATGGTAGTACTACCCCTGAGGCTTGGGGTTAGGAGGAATGGTAGTAGTACCCCTGAGGGTTGGGGTTAGGAGGAATGGTAGTACTACCCTGAGGGTTGGGGTTAGGAGGAATGGTAGTACTCCCCCTGGAGTTGGGGTTAGGAGGGATGGTAGTACTACCCCTGAGGGTTGGAGTTAGGAGGTATGGTAGTACTACCCCTGAGGGTTTGGGTTAGGAGGGATGGTAGTACTACCCCTGAGGGTTGGGGTTAGGAGGGATGGTAGTACTACCCCTGGGGGTTGGGGTTAGGAGGGATGGTAGTACTACCTCTGAGGGTTGGGGTTAGGAGGGATGGTAATACTACCCCTGAGGGTTTGGGTTAGGAGGGATGGTAGTAATACCCCTGAGGGTTGGGGTTAGGAGGGATGGTAGTACTACTTCTAAAGGGTTGGGGTTAGGAGGTATGGTAATACTACCCCTGAGGGTTGGGGTAAGGAGGGATGGTAGTACTACCCCTGAGGGTTGGGGTTAGGAGGAATGGTAATACTACCCCTGAGGGTTGGGGTTAGGAGGTATGGTAATACTACCCCTGAGGGTTGGGGTTAGGAGGAATGGTAGTACTACCCCTGGAGTTGGGGTTAGGAGGGATGGTAGTACTACCCCTGAAGGTTGGGGTTAGGAGGAATGGTAATACTACCCCTGAGGGTTAGGGTTAGGAGGTATGGTAATACTACCCCTGAGGGTTAGGGTTAGGAGGAATGGTAGTACTACCCCTGGAGTTGGGGTTAGGAGGGATGGTAGTACTACCCCGGAGGGTTGGGGTTAGGAGGGATGGTAATACTACCCCTGAGGGTTGGGGTTAGAAGGGATGGTAGTACTGTTTGGGAGAAGGATACTGTAGACCGCTAATTAGGAGAATGATTGACACTGGCCCAAAGGTAAACATGCATCTGTTGGGGGGAGGCATGCGTCCTGGTGGGAGATGATCAGAGGAGGCATGTCCTATCATAGGAGATGTCAGATAGAGATAAAACCACATTTTTTATCATTTTTACCCTCATATTTATATACATCAGCAGCTTGTCGGCTATCTCGGCTTGTTTTTGTTAATGTCGATATGAGATAGGACCTGTCTGGTATCAGCCCACCTATATGTCCCTTCGTGTTTCCTTGTATACATGTAGATAGACTCTCGGCTCCTTAGATTGGCTAATTTAGATAGCAATCACTCAAGTCTCTTGTTGACATTTCATCCTAATGTAAAAAAGGTTTCAGTTTTACAGGCAAAAATATACAAGTCAGCCTCCACAATGTGATGTTTACATCAATAATAGAAATAGAAATGGCAGAATATTTGTTTTTGATATACTGCAATTTTGATCAGAATAATTGCTCAAATGCAGTGCCATTTTATTTTTGTATAGAAGTTAGAGAGAGCTTATTCAACAAACTTTTTACAAAGAACAAGAAATATGCAAAGAAATTTTATAAATATATTATCAGATACACAAGTGTATATTGAAAGTTAGAATTCCCTTTGATTGGTACATGATGTTGTGTAAACAAAGGTGTTAGAACGAGACCAAACCCTAATTCCTTCATTTAGTACAGATTTATCAAATTAGTGTCAACAGTTTTCATATTATTTCACAGCTATTTAGTACAAAAGTCACTAGTACACCAGAATTTGATTCTTTTCCCAGATTTATGCCATAATTTGGTATGTGCCCTAACTTGTGGGTACTGAAATGTGGGCAGTAATATCCTACAGTTACCAATTGTCTTATTTAATAACTGTCAGCCTCCGTACCAGCATACCTCGGTGGTGTATCAGTGTTTAGGGGTTGTTTGGGTGACTGAGGTCCCACACATTACGGGATATTTG